CGTACTTCATATTTTGAGTTCGTCCTTCGACGCAGTCTAGGAGTTTCGTAAGGATCATAAATTAGATTTATGTCAATATATGAAGACCTATAGGGTCACACAATAAGCAATCAATTTTCCGACTAAGAGTGAATCGAGAGTGTTAAATATTCAATTAGATTGGAATATTTATTTATGAGTAATGAGATTATTTTCTATTTGATAGAAAATATTTAATTAAGTTAAATTGGATTTATACTTAATTAGTAATGAGATGATTTTCTATTTGATGAAAAATATTTAATTAAGTTAAATTAGATTTATATTTAATTAAAATATTAATTGGATTAAGTCTAATTACCTATTGGGCTGTAGGGTATCCTAAGTCCCATATAATTAGGTTTTGACCTATTTATAAATATCTCATTATCTCTTCATAATCATTAATCGTTGGATCAATAAGAGAGACTTTGAGAGATCCAAAAATCTTAGAGATTGAGAGATCAACAAAAGACAGAACACTCTCTAGCTTTTCGGATCGATGATTCCTAGCTTCTTCACTGGAAGGGATTCACTACCGTTAGATCGTGCACCGGGAAACTGGATTGCGTGGATACCATAGTCGAGGACAAACGACGAATAACTGTAAGTTTTCGTGTATCATTCACGCAATCTAGAATCATATCAAATAGCTATAGCCGGATCTTCATTGTTGGTAAGAAAATTTTAAAATTCCACTGCGCGTGCGATTGATTCGTACGACTGAAATCCAACACGTACTTGTGCATAACTGTGATTGACTTGAGATCGATAGGTAAAAGTCCATTGCTAGAATAGTTGATTTTACAATGTAAAAGGCTAGATAGACTGACAGGATTCACTTTTGCATGGAAATAAAAGTTGAGACTATTTATGGTATCAAATTTGTTTGAATACATAGATGGGTGGCTTCCTTTGCTGCCATGTGAGTTCTCAACCCGATTACGCACCCTTCTTTAGTATTATGAAAAAAGTTGAGTGTTTATTGTATCAGGTTTGTTTGATTCAATGTGCAGGTGAAATTAGGGATCAAACTGTCCAGTATTTGTTGTGTTGTTTATCGGTTGAATTCTTGTCATCAGATGTGTATTTGTCGATTGGAATTAATTAGCTTGGTCCCTCGTGTACGTTAATCTTGGAGTATGTTCAAATTCTTGTTTCTCATTCTGTGATCTTGTGGTGCTCAGTCATAAAATTGTGATGCATTTTTCAAGAATTACGAGAGGGAATTAAGGACTGTATAATGGAATCCTGTGATTGATTGATTTTTTTTTTCAATTACTTAACTTCGAGTGAATATATTGTATATGATTTTAGCTCTCGTTGGCAATGTTGTTAGGTTAAATGTGTCTTCCTTTCCTTTCTTACTCCGGCTGCCAAAAACTTGTGTTTATGTCTATTCATCTTTCGTTTGTTATATTTTTGCATACTTTTGATTGAATTGATACCTCGAGACTGAGAAGAGATAGCTCTTTGCTGGAATAGAGGAATTTACGACGTAAAGGGCCAAGAAGGTGACATGCCCTTATTGGTAATTTTGTCTCTTACTGCAGCTACTTGTTGGTCTTGGACTGGACAAACTGGAGAACAAATATGCTGACCTCACTTCTCATCCCTTACATCTTCTTCAGTTTTCCCCACGTCCTGTTCCACTTTCTTAGGTGAACCCTTCAAACTTATTTGATGTTTTTAACTTTTTATATGATGATTATATATACAGTTGAGTTCTTGAATGTGAGAAAAATCTTTTACTTAAGGCTCTTCACAATTAATCCTACAGGGGAGAAGTCGGTAAATGGATTGCATTTGTTGCTGTTGTGCTTAGGCTTTTCTTCCCCAGACATTTCCCAGGTACACGAGCCAATATATCTTTCGTTGCAGTTTAAAAAGGAACAACTGGAGATATTATCCAGAATTTTAGCCCATCTTTTTTATAAGTTACGAACATGATGGAGTGGCTGTGTAGAGTGGCTGGAGATGCCGGGTTCATTGATTCTTCTGCTGGTGGTTTCGCCCGATTTTTTTGCCCACACGGTGAGAGACCACTGGGTTGGGGTGGCAATTTGTGTTGCCGTAGGTTGTTATTTACTGCAGGAGCATATCCGAGCATCCGGAGGCTTCCGGAACTCCTTCACGCAGAGCCATGGTATCTCCAACACGCTAGGGATTGTCTTCCTGCTGCTGTTCCCCATTTGGGCCTTACTCAACCACGTTATCTAGATAATATGGGCTTTTTTTGTGGGCGTGATTTTATATATATGGTTTCTTTTGTATGTCTTTCATTTCCCAAGAAGCTGAGCTCCAGTTTTTAGCTATGACTTGGTTTTCGATTTCTGTACACT